CTACTGATGGTGGAACATCTTCCTTCATGATGGTGGAACATCTTTCTACTGATGGTGGAACATCTTTCTACTGATGGTGGAACATCTTTCTGCTGATGGTGGAACATCTTTCTACTGATGGTGGAACATCTTTCTACTGATGGTGGAACATCTTTCTACTGATGGTGGAACATCTTTCTGCTGATGGTGGAACATCTTCTTCCGACTGATGAGCAGAGAAGAAAAAGGTTTTATTGTTTTAGACGCTGCAGAAATGTAGATATGAACATTTTTCCGGTGCTGGTAACATCTGTGGACACTTGGAAAAATGTTTGAACTTTTCTTTGTTAAAGTAAATAATCACCAAAGTTCTTCTTTTGTCTTTAAAGGAGAACTTCTCTGAGTTCTGTCTCCTGCTTGTTGTTCTGTTTCTGTGGAGCTGCAGGACTTTATGTTGCACAGAAACATGAAACCGTTAAATCGACTGTAATGTAATAAAAAGTCAAACCTTCTGCTCGCTCGGTGGAACCTGGACCCGCTCCGACTCAGAACCTCTGCTTCTTGAATCTGCATCTCCGTGGCAACAGGGAGGAAGCTGACATCACCGGAGGTCGCCGCTAATCGCAGGCCGAGCGGTTTCCGTCATTATTAGCGTGTTAGCGTCATTAGCGTAATTAACCCAGGTGTGTTTTCTCAATGACCCAATCGTCCGTCCTGACGGACCCGGGGGCCGACGGGAGGTCGCCGGGCCCCTCGGGGACCGTCGCCGTGGGAGAGGGGCCCCGTCGCCGCGGCAACAGGAACACAAAGAAGGATGGAGATGGACGGAGGGTTCGGAACCGATCGGACAGCTGCCGGGCCGCGGGTTAATGTCGGTTAACGAGCTTTAATCGGAGTCCAGCAGCTTCCTGACCGAAAACACAGACTTTAGTGAAACCGCAAAGTTAAAAAAAGTTTCCAACATGTGACGTGTTTGTCAGCTGATGGAAGAAAAGATGTTTCTGTGTTCACAACCATTAAAGCTTCAACCCGTACATCACTTTGTGGACATTTTGCATCGTTTTGTTGTTGTTTTGTCTACTTGCATTTGTTTTGTGGCCGCTTCACAATCATTTCTCTGTTTTTTGTTGTTGAATCTCTGCAGGTGTTTTGAGGTTGTTTGTGTCTTTGTGGATGTTTTGCGTCACTCTGAGATTGTTTATTTTTAATCTTTGTGTCTATTGTGTATTGTTTTGCAGTCGTTTTGTGGTTGTTTTGTGTGTTTTTGCAGTTTTTTTCCGGTTTTTTTGTGTTTTTTTTGTCTTTTTGTGTCCCTTTTTTGTTGTTTTGTGGTTGTTTTGTGCTGTTTTGGTTGTTTTTGTGATTTTTGAGTTGTTGGGTCGCTGTTTCGTTGTTTTGTTGTTGTTTTGTTGTTGTTTTGTGTATCTTCGCAGCTGTTTTTGTCCTTTTGTGACCATTTTGTGGTTGTTTTGGGTTTTTTGTGTGTGTTTACGGCCAGTTTGCGTCGCTTCACAGTCATTGTGTGTCTTTATTGTTGTTTCTCGTCTGTTTCCGTTTGTTTTACACTTTTTCTCAGCTGTGTTTGTCTTTTTGTGGACATATTGCATCACTTTGTGGCTGGTTTGTGTTGCTTTGCAGCTATTCTGTCTGTTTATTCGTGTGTTCAGAGACGTTTAGCGTTGCTTCACAGTCAGGTTTTGTTTTTATTATTTGTTTTGTGTGTCTTTGCAGTGGTTCTGTGCAGTTGTTTGTGGCTGGTTTGTGTTTTGTATTGTTTTGCGGTTGTTTTATTGTTGTTTTACATCTTTGTAGCCTTTTCACGATGCTTTGCAGTTCTTTTGTTTGTTACTTTGTGTCTTTGTAGCGTTTTTACATTCTTTGCAGCTGTTGTTTTGTATCTTTGTGTCTGTTTTGTGTCTCTTTGCTGCTGCTCTGAGGCTGTTTTGTTTGTTGTTTTGTGTCTTTGTAGCCTATTTTGTTGCTTTGCTGCTGTTCTGAGGCTGTTTTGGGTTCTTGTGTCTGTTTTTTTTTTTGTTGTGTTTTCTTGCATCCCGTTGTGTGTCTTTGCAGTCGTCGTGTTTTTCACAGTTTTCACTGTAAACGAACTTCACGCGGTTTGAAAGCGTCTCTAAGAATCTTCCCTTCGAGCCGACGAGGATCTGCAGACGTGAACAACTTTCTGTTTTGGTTCCCGAAGCTGTTTGTGTTACAACCGGAGCCGCGGCGGCTCCCAGGAGTTTTCATTAACAGGTAATCACCTGATGACCCGACGTCCACCAGTGGGCAGGCAGCACCGGACGTGATGTCATCGCAGCGGAGGCTCCCGATTGGACGGTGGATTCCCCGGCAGCAGCTATAAAACCTGATGTGAAGCCAGAAGAAGACAAAGAGGGACGAGGACGAGGTTCAGCTCACAGCCGAGGTAACAGACGCTGTGTGTGTGTGTGTGTGTGTGTGTGAGTGTGTGTGTGTGTGTGTGTGTGTGTGAGTGTGTGTGACGCAGGTGTGCACAGGTGTTACTGCAGAACAATGTCTCTTTTTATCAGGTGACTTTTATTTTTCTTCTCTAAACTTTTCCTCCACAAACGTTTTCCTGCTTTAGATGCAAATAAAAACACTTTTTTGTTGTTAAATATTTAAAGCTGTTGCCGCACAAAGTGTGTGTTTAATCCTGTGAGTGTGTGAAGCTGCTTTTTTGTGTGTTTAATGTCATTTTTCTGTCAGACTAAACTCCTAAATTACAGTGAATTTAAATCATTTCTGAGTTTTGTGGTGTGAAGCTGCTGTTTTTATTTTTGTTTTGCTGATTTTAACAACTTTCTACAGATTTTAGGTTGATTTTGAATTAATTTTTGTATAATTTTATGATTTAAATCCTGATTTGTGGCTGATTTTATGCCAAATCTTCTGCATTTGAATCCTAAATTGTGTCACTTTTTGTGCGATGCTGCTTTTCTTTTTAAATGATTTTTTATTTTTCGACTCCTGAATCGTTCACTCCAGTGAAACGTTGCTGCTTCGACTCATCAAAAACACAAATGAATGAGATGAAAGCAGCAGGTTGTGAAAGTCAAACTTTGTGCATTCAGGTGTGTTGAGCTGCAGGAAGGAAACTCTGGATGGTTTTGTGAATGGAAGAATCTGCAGAGTGTGTGTGTGTGTGTGTGTGTGTGTGTGTGTGTGTGTGTGCGACACGTGCACGAATGAGCATCACTGAGACGCCTGTGCATCATCAGGAATGTGTGTGACGCTGACAACAAGTGTTTGTGTGTCTGTTTGCAGGGAATAATGTGTGTGTGTGTGTGTGTGTGTGTGTGTGTGTGTGTTTAGGTGTGTGTGTGTCTCAAGGGGGCAGAATGCAGGAGCGCGCACGTCACCGAGCGTGCATGTGACGGTCAAAAGGCGTTTATTTGCAGAGATGGAAAATGCTAAAATTAGCCGATGTTGCTGGACGATACAGAGGCTAAAAGAGTCGGAGTGTGTGTGTGTGTGTGTGTGTGTGTGTGTGTGTTCAGGTTAGCTGCAGGTTCAGGTTGGGTTCAGGGTTTCAGGGTTTCAGGGTGTTGTTTCTTCATTCAGAATGTGTTTGTGTCGGTTTGTTGTTGTTTTGTGTCGTCTTTCCTTCTAGTTGTGGTCGTCTGTGCGTCTTTAAACTTGTTTTTTTCATTTTTTTTTTGTCATTTTTTTTGGTCTCTTGTGGTTGTTTTTGTTGTTTTATATCTGTTTGTGTGTCTTTGTGGTGATTTTTATTCTCTCTGTTTTGTGTTTGTTGTCTTCCAGTGTGTCATTGTGGTCACTTTATGTGTCTTTGTGGTCGTTTTGTGTCTCTTTCAGGTTTGTTTATGTCACTTGTTGCACATCTTTGTTGTCATTTTGTCTCTTTGTGGTCTTTTTGTGCATCTCTGTTGTCGTTTGTCATCTCTTCCTGGTTGCTCTGCGTGTTTTTGTGGTCATTTTATGTCATTTGTGTCGTCTTACGTGACTTTGTGGTCTTTTTATGTTGTATTTGCACAATTTTGTTGTCATTTTTCTTCTGATTGTTGTCATTCGGTGTGTCTGTGCATCATTTCGTGGTCATTTTGTGTCTTGATGGTTATTATTCTTTCTTTTGTGTTTGTTATTCTTGATTATTTGTCTCAATTTGCATCGTTTTTGGTTGTTTTTGTTGCTTTTCTGTGTATTATTTGCGTCTCTTTCTGCCTGAATGTTGCCGCTGATGGTCTGTTGATCGTTTAAATCTTCAGAACATCAAGTAAACAAGTTCTAAACGAGACAAACGGGAGCAAAGACGCAGAAAATAAGAATCCTTCTGTGTTTGTGTTTCATCATCTTTCTGATGTCGTTCCAGATGTCGTCCTGCAGCCGTTTGCTGTTCTGCTGCCTGCTGACCTTCATCAGCGTCCTGCACTGCAGAGTCCTGCAGCTGCCCGACCAGGTAACCGCAACTCACCTGGCTGTAACCATGGCAACCACACCCACAACCCCAAAACCAGATCCTTTGTCTCTTAGCGAGAATCTGAACCTGACGTGCCTTTAGTTTCAGTACGTAGACCCGTCCACACTCCTTTTAATTTACTCTAGACTCTAGTTTTACTCCAGTATATAGCCATATCCCGTATCATTCACTAGTTTCATCACACTCATCTTTCTGTTGTGAATTCAGTACTTAGACATGTCCCGTCCTCCTGGATTTCGCCTCGTCCCACGTCGTTTCATTTCAGCAGTCTTCTTGTGGCTGCCTTTAGTTTCAGTACATAGACAGATCCCACATTTCTTTAGTTCAGGCTTTTTTCTATAAGTGAAATAACGGGATAGGTCTACATGCTGGGTCTAATGACAGATACAGTCAGCCTGCCGAAATGAAACGACGTGGGATCAGTCTATGTACAGGAACTAAAGGCAGATATGATGAAAATGCTGAAATGTGGGATGAGGTGATGCACTGACACGGAGGTGGGATAAGTCTATGTGCTGTTAGTGAAGTGGATGAGATGAGACTTCGACTTTGAAATAGAATGGCACGGGACAAGGCTAAGTTCTGGAATAAAGAAAACGAGAGATACAAATTGTGCAGGAATTAAAAGATGGTGACACAATGACATTAAGGAGGTTGGGATAGGTCTACGTACAGGAACCAAACAATGATCAGACTCTACTGTAATTAAGTGATTTTGTGGGATACGGCTATGTGCTGATGAACAACGGCAGTTGGGATAGGTCTATGTTCAGAAACAAGAGGTAGGGATGTAGCTCGAGGCCGTCAGGGGCCTCAGAGTCGGTGTCGGATGAAGGGAAGCTGCAGGAGAGAAGCTCGAAGCTGTTTTCTGTTTAGTCTGGACGACACGCGATCCGTCGGACAGGAAGTCAGAAAGCGTTCGCTGTCGGCGGCGCCGCGTGAGAACCGACGGAGCCTCAGAGGTCAATATTATCCAAGAGGAGACTCCCTCATAGTAAATAAAATACGCAGGAGACACAGTCGACGTCTTCGTCACAAGACGGAGTTTTAAACCAAAAACAGAGTTTCTTTGAAGTTCTGTGAGTTTGAACAACCGAAGAAGACCAGCAGGGACCATCAAAAGCTCCAGGACGACACTAAAGGGACTCGTAAACACAGCGTGGACACTTGTTTTTCATTTCAGCACATAGACTTATCCCACCACCATTAGGTTCTAGTACAAACCCATCACAACGTCCCGTTTTTTCATCAGTGTATAGTCTCATCCTGCTATCATTTAATTACAGTAATCTGATCATTATTTAGTTTCAGTGCATAGACCGATCCTCCTTTTCTATCGGCACACAAGCTTCCTTCACCTCAATTACAGCACATAGCCTTATCCCATCTCCATCAATGTCAGGGCGTATTTGTACCCTCGTTTAGACCGGTCCCGCCCTCCCGTCTGCAAGCACATCGTCTTTCAGTCCTCTCCTTGTGTTCCAGCACGTAGACCGGTCCCTGTCGAGGTCCCGCCCCCGGGGGGTGAAGGTGGGGGAGGAGCTGACGGCGAAGCTGCTCCGACTGGACGACCTGGTGAGGATGGAGAACGACGTCATGGAGCCCAAGAGGAAGAGGAGTTTCCCCGGCAACAACGCGCCGCTGGACCGCCTGTCCATCAGCTCCATGGAAACCAAACAGGCGACGAACAAGCAGAGGTAGGACACCTGGAAGGACACCTGGAGGGACACCTGGAGGGACACCTGGAGGGACACCTGGAGACACAACGAAGGCTTCGAGGCTTTAGTTAATGCTCTTGTCTGGTCTGTCTGTGTCTGGAGCTGCTATTATTGTGAAAAACAGACAGAGTTTGTGTTTTAAAGTCGTACAAGAAAACAGCACATAGACTCATCCCACTACGTTTCATTTCCTGACTGTACCTATCATTGGTTTCAGTATCTAGACCGATCCCACACTCCTTTCATGTCAGTACACAGCTTTGTTCCATCTTTGTTTAATTTCAACTTTCAGACTTATGCTGTCTTGTGTTTACTCCAGTACATAGCCTTATCCAACACCTATCCTACCCACCTGTAATATCCATCCATAGACTCGTTCTGCAAAATTCAGTTCATTGCAGTTCATAGCCTTATCCCATCCTCCGTTCATTTCTGTATACTTTTGCAAGCTTCTTTTTTAAAATTATTATTACAGCAGTCTTCTTGTGGCTGCCTTCAGTTTCAGTACATAGACCCATCCATCCTCCTTTTACTTTAGCTTTAGCTGCTTTTCTCTGTTCCAGTTTATAGCCTTATCCAATGTAGTTTATTTCTACAGTCTCATAAATTTCTGCGTAGACTTCAGCTAGTTTCTTTTATTCCAGTACATAGCCTCGTCCCACGTCATAGCATTACAGCGGCTGCCTTGAGTTTCAGTACGTAGACTGATCCCAGACATTTAAGCTGAAGTTTTAAAAACATCCTGAAAGTGTCTCTAGAATCCTAAAACAGTCTTTGAACCACCTGGGTAACGTTTTTTTAATGTTTGTCACGCCGACAGGTGTTTTCTACCTGGATCTATAAACAGGTGCATCATGGGTAACGGGTTAAAATCCTTCTTATGTGTTGAGGATTCTTGCGGTTAGCTTTGTATGCTAGCTGCTGCTAACACGCCGACCTTCCTGTTCCCCAGTAAGGTGGCAGAGTTGCCGCGGCGACGAGCCAACCCGCCTCCCATCGACAGGATCGGCATGAGCCGCCTACCGAACAGCCGAGGATAGGCCACGCCCCCTGCCACTGAGAGCCTGCCCCTCTCGCCAGCGCCCTCCTCTGGACAGGTAACGTCTCGCCTCATGTCGCCGGTGGCAACCTAACGAGGTCTGAAACGCTGACACGTCTCTTTTCCGTCTGCAGAGGAATCACAGATGCATGAACCGCAGCCAATCACCCGCTGAGCCACGCCCACCGCCTCACCAGGACACGCCCACCCCTCAGCGTTCATCGACGGTGCATTCAGGTGCAGCTCGGTTAGTCGCGTAGAAGAAGCCGTCAGGACCAAAGCTTGTTGTGTTTTTTTCTGATCGTCGGTTCGTTTGAGTCTTAACTTGACAGCAGCCGTTGTTTCCGTCGCGATTCAGCAGCTGAGCTTCAAAACGAGACGACCTGCGGCGCAGCGTCTCCACAAAATAAACCCGAACCCGACGCACGGCGCCCCCTGGAGGCCGCGGTGAGACGTTTCTGAGCTGCTTCAAGACAAACAGCCATTTTACCCTCAGTGCCGTCTGTCAGGCACAAGTCTTCTTACATCAACTGACCGCAGCGTAAACATGTCCAGGAGTCAACAGGAAGAGATTGTTTCAAGTCTGTAAAGTCGCAGTTTGTCATGAAGACAGTAAAGTTTTATGTTTGTGTGAATATGAACCAACATGGCCGCTGCTACCTCGACACATTTCAAAATAAAAGCAGAAAAAAAATAACTAAAGATGTGAAAATCTGCAAGTCTTTAAATGTAAACCTGTTTTACTTTCTACCTACCGACTAGTTGACCAGCTCGTCTACTGACTCGTCTACTGACTCGTCTCCTGACTCGTCTAACTACCGATGACGTGTCTTCAGTTGCTCTGTCGGCTTGCAAAGTTGAAAAGTTTCGTTATTTATTCCTAATTTTAGCCTCAAACTTCAGCAGTTTACAGACAAACTGATCTTTTGAACTCACAAACATCGTGTGTGCTGCCTTCAGAGGGAAACTAGTTTTAACGGTTTGACTCCTGCAGCAGGCGTTTGTCTGTAAACCTGTGAAAGCTGCTGAACTCTAATCAATGATCAATAAACGTGTTTCACTGAACTGTTAGAACGGAATTCACTGCTCATGTGGATAAAATGCAACGAACAGCAGGAAAACTTTGCAGAAACATTCCCACCGCGACCTTCAGGGGCTCCGGAACAACGTCAAAGTAATCTATTACAAGTAAAAGTACTCACTCTGTAGAAAGCATGAAAAAAAAAATAAATCTGAATCTTTACCGCTGATGTGAAGTCTTAACCTGAAAGAAGCTTCTCTGTTAATCACCAGAGGATTAGTTGCATTAGTTAATATATTTGCCACACGTTTCTCATCATACTCGAGTATTTTTACTGTGTAATAAAGTACATGATGAATTTCTTTCTTCTAAAACTTGAACCAGAATCCAGTTTCAAAGCGTCAAACTTCACAAACCTTTTATTTTTTAAACGCCTGCCGACACAAACGTCTCTTGAAAGTTTTTCGGGCGTCACCTGAATGCACCGCGGCCGCCCC